GCCGTCCTTGGTGCTCCTCGCCGCCACCGACCACCACCATCATCCGCTTCGTCGTCTTCTCTCTTTCTTCGTCTTCTTCGTTTAGATCTAGCAAAGGAGTGACGTGCTGAGAAAGCTGGAGAAGATGAGAAGGAAGATTGCGGATAGGAGACGATCCTGTCGCTGCCAGATCTCCTTTGCACTCGACGCCGCCGCCCTATTTGACACCACCTTGGATCCCTCTCAGAGCATTCGATGTTTAATTTAGGGCCTAGTTGTCTGCGGGCCTTTTTTTAGTAGATCAGTTGTGTTGTTAAGTTCGTGGCCCTTTGTGTTTGTTGGGCCTTCTTTTATTTGACTTATGTATGACTGTCTGGGCCTGTTGAAAGAGCCTACAAAAATATTAAAAAAACAAACAAACAAAAAACTTATAATAATACAAAAAAAGAGTGTATAAAAAAAGGTTGAGATCTTTAACCATTCGGGGTTTCTATTCTAACCTTCGGGTTCTAACCTTCGGGTTCTCTAACCTTTGGGTTTTCTAACATTTGGGTTTTATGCTAACCTTCGGGTTCCTATTCTAACTTTTCGGGGTTCTTTATTCTAATCTTCGGATTTTATACAAGAAGATTGTGATCCTCCTACTATTATATTATCCTGTTCTGTGACAATGACACGATCTGACATCTCTTCTGCTGCTACTACTACCCCTACTACTGCTGAGATCTCTGCACCCAAAGTAGTATTGGGAACCACTGTGAAGTTAAATGGCACATATTATTTTCTTTGGGCTCAGGATTTTCGCATCTTCATTGGAGCTCAGAACAAATTAGTTCATCTTCTGGCCCCTCCTCCCGTTTCTACTGATCCTACGTATCCCGCATGGATCTTGTTGGCCTTCTTGTTTTGATGATGTTTAAACAAACAATTTATAACTAATGTTGTTTGTCTAGTGCTTGTATTATTTATTCATTGTAGACAAACAACGTAGTTGGAGGATGGATGGAATAGAGCTTCAACGATCATATCCAAAGGAGGTTGACGGAATGTCGGTGAAGCCTTGCTATTCAAAGTTCAAGATCCAAGTTCAAGCTTCATCCGCGAGATTACCAAGTCAAGCTTATTGAAGATCAAGATCATTGCTTGGGTAATTTAGTTTAGGAATTTATATTATGTGTGTTAGTACTTTAAGCTCAATCATATACACACATACACGTTTTGGTTTTTGTATATATATAGTTATATATATATACATATATGTTTTGGTTTGATAGTTTTCAAGTTTTACTATGAAACAATTGAATAGAATTGGAAAATACTATTTTGTTTCATGTTTATATGCCTATATATGATTTCACATTTAACAAGCTTATATTTAATGAAATCATATTTAGTGTTTTGAATATATTGCATAGAATATGCAATTTTATGAAAATATTGTATTTCTAGGTTATAGACTTCATAACAACATATTATATCTTTTATCAAGTCTATACAATCATTTCATAAAGTTTCAAAATATTGTTTAAGTCAAAATATCAAAATATCAATTTTCAGGTTTTCATGTTTTTGAACTATTTTGTAAAATGATGATATTTTTCATTTGGGAAGTCCTTTTTGATAACCAGTCATTGTAGCATGTTTATTATCATGTCTACAATCATTCCCCAAAGTTTTATTGAGTTAGAGCACAAGGCGTATTGGGCTATCAAACTCCTCAATTTTGATATGAAGACCGCAGGTGAGAAAAGAAAGCTTCAACTTCATGAGCTAGATGAGCTACGATTAGATTCCTATGAGAATGCTCGCATTTATAAAGAAAAGACTAAACGATGGCACGATAAGAATATCCTTCGAAGAGAGTTTAATCAAGGAGATATGGTATTACTTTTCAACTCTCGTTTGAAGCTTTTTCCGGGCAAGCTCAAGTCTAGGTGGTCCGGACCGTTTCAAATCCGCGAGGTTTTTCCTAGTGGAGTTGTTGAAGTCTGGAGTGAAACAACGGGATCTTTCAAGGTGAATGGGCAACGATTGAAGCACTACATTGTAGGGGAACAACACGAGAAAGGGGTCACTTATACCCTTTCCGATCCCCCTTCGTCGGATAATTAAGCGCAAAAAGGGGTCGAGCTCAAGACCATAAACGAGCGCTTCTTGGGAGGCAACCCAAGTTTTCATCCATTTTATTTATCTTATTTTATTTTATTTTATTTAGGCAATTGGATCGGCATAAATTTAACTTATAATATTTTCAATCTTGCAGGTTAGGAGAAGGGAGAACAATTCTTTCAAAAAAAAAAACTGCAGAAAAAGGAGTTCAAATGGGATGGCAGACTCTACCACACCCGTCTGCCACACCCATGGTCTACAGGAAGAAAAGAATCCAGACTGAGGAGTGGCGTCGGTTGACGTGCCTAGGGAGAGGTTGTAACCGAGCACTTGAGGAGGAGGACACGGGCTAGGACCAACACTTAGTGTGTGAGGTGTGATTGCATAGTGATTGTATTGTGAGGTGTAAACGTTATTTGGGTGAGCGTAGAAAACCCGGTTGTGATAGTGGATTTCTCCTCGGGAGTTGGGAGCGGAGACGTAGGACGGAAGGTCCGAACTCCGTGATCATATTGCTTGTTTGAGTGTGCTTTAGCGTTCTTTCATATTTATGTTCATATCTTATATCGCCATTGTCATTATCTCATTATCTATATCATCCACTATCTAGTTTAGATTGTTTACCCTTGAGTTTATATATCCTTGCTCATATACTTGTAATATCTTATTGATAGGATATATTCATTTGTTCATATTGCTTATCCTAGCTTACATATCTTGTTGTGTTTCATACTTGCTAGGATAACTTGTTAATTAATTTTAATTGGTATTTAAATCGGATTAGATTAGCATAAGACCCTAATCACCCCCCCTCTAGGGTCTAACAGATCTCTGCTGACTGGCGTGTGATGACTTGGCTCCTTAATAGCATGGAAGCCCAGATCAATAACAGTGTCATGTTCTCGAACACTGCTAAGGAGATGTGGGATAATTTTAAAATTATGTACGAGAATGAGAAAAATACATCCCGTGTGTTCGAATTGTATGAACATCTTTTCTCTCTTCAACAGGGTGATCGCTCTGTACCTGAGTACTTTGGTGAGCTGAAAAATCTGATCTATGAATTAGAGATGTATCAGCCCGCCGTTACGGATGCACCAATACTATTGGGATATCGTAGGGACCTTGCAGTGTCCAAGTTCTTGTCGGGTCTGAGACTGTACGAGGCCATATACTAGGAGGAGATACTATTCCTTCTTTGACTGCTACTTTCTCAATAGTTATGTAGGTAACTATTGGAGATACTACCGCCTCACTGTCTACTCCGTCTCTTGACCAGTCTGCTATGTTCTCTAGACATGGCAGAGGTCAAGGTCGTGGTCGTGGATGTGGCCGCGACATAAGGGGAGGACGAGGCTCGTTTGGTGGAAGACAAATTGACTCGGATAGGAATCCGCTTCAATGCCACCATTGTGGAAGAACTAATCATGTATCTGAGAAATGCTGGGAAAAATTTGATCATCCTGCATGGGCCCAGATAGTTGATACTACCTTTGCTGCTGCCCCTACTACTACTACTACTACTACTTCCACTTCCTCCACAGTTCAAATTTCTCAGGCTGAGTTTGACCGGTTGCGTCAACTTGATCTCTCTCAGAATAGTTTTTCTACTACTCATGCATCCTCTTCAGGTATGGATGCCTATATTTCCTCTCCTCACAAACCATGAGTATTAGATTCTGGCACCTCCTCTCATATGACAGATATAAATGACCACTTTGTTTCCTTAAACCTTTCTGATAAGTTTCCATCGGTTCGAATCGCTGATGGGACATGCTCTCCTGTCCTTGGTGATGGAGTAGTCCATGCTACTTCATCGTTGACTCTTACTGATGTTTTATATCTTTCCAAGTTTCCTGTTAGTTTACTGTCCATCAGTCAGTTCACAAAACATAACAACTGTAAAGTCACGTTTTTTCCTTCTCATTGTGTTTTTCAGGACCTAGCAACTGGGATGAAGATTGGTTCGGGGCATGAGAGAGGAGGCATGTACTATTTGGATGACAATACGCCTACTCTGGTCTTGTTGCAGAAAGATCTCATCATTCTTTACTATGGCATCAACGCCTTAGTCATCGATCGTTATCGAAACTTCGGTCAATCATTTCTTTCGAATCTTTTGTCTCTTCTTTAGATTGTGAGTCTTGTGAACTGGGTAAGCACCATCATGCTACCTATCAGAGTCGTGTTGATAAACGCAGCAGTTTTGCGTTTGAATTAGTCCATTCTGACATTTGGTGCCCTTGTCGTATACCTTTCGTAAGAGGTTATAGATATTTCATTATCTTTGTTGATGACTTCTCTCGCATGACTTGGCTTTATCTTTTAAAAG